ATTCAAAACGAATTATTCTGCTGGTCCATCTGCATCACAGCCTACGATTGTGTATGATCATAAACAATTGTCTTCAATCTAATTTCTTACAACTTTAAACGGTATTTATGCATCGTTCTATCCAATAAAAAAACTACATAAATCTATGATTTAGAATCAATTTGATATCCTGGACTACTTTATATATTCTAACAAAAACGATATTTGTTTTCTTGAGAACTAACTTGAGAAGAGATAAAGGAAACATGAATTATTATTCATGTGCGTCTGGCATTCTATTCAAAATCAAAATTGAGAATAAATGTATTCAGTTATATTTTTCTCACTAAAAGCAGATTTCTTATATTACTTCCTTTCTTGCATAGATGACAATTATTGTGTATTTATTTTTATTGCTGTCTGTTTAGGCTTTCAACATCGATATTTCATAGATTCATCTCACGATCAACCCAAAGAAAGGAAACTATGTACATGATAAGACGCATCTTTAAAGTTCTTCTGGAAAATCTTTGTGCAATAGTTCATCTCAAGACAGTTATTGTCGTTTTCTGAAAGCAAAATACGAACTTGGTCGAACAATCGGCTTTGATTTCTTACAAACAAACATGCTCTTTAGTAATTAGAAGAAGAATACTCAACCTTCAGCTACCTTGCAGTATAGGATGCTGTCTGAAGACAGTTTCGAACGCCTGATATTTTTCTATACGACCATCACTAGCTGTAACTCTGTACAGAAGATCGGCATGACTCAGAGTTCTTCTGCTCAATCACTGAAGTTTCCCGTACACACTGGCTACCCATATACTAGCCATAAGGGTTGATGTATGTCACAACGTAGTCAGCGTACTATTATACGGGTGATCCAAGACTAACAACCGTTAGTGACTTGTTCAAGGTCATTACATGTCTGATTGTGTTGAGGTTTGAACACACTACCTCGGTAGTACGTGCCAAATAACTTAACCATTCAGGTATAGCGATCTAGTTCTTTTTTTACATCATCGATCGTTCTTCTATTCGAACGAATGTGACTATCGTAGAACTGAGTGGAGAGGAAAAACTCTCATACATTTATATATATAATATATTTCAATAGAGTCATCTAGCTGTTTTTTTTTGTTTTTTCTAGATTACTTAGAAAGACGCCAAATGACTACAAAAGGAATCGCACGCGGCTATGATTACATGAACGAGTCATCAGTTAATGAACATATTCTATGTCCTATTTGTTCACATCCATTGATCGATCCAGTAATTACTCCATGTGATCATATATTCTGTAAAGCTTGTATTAAATCTTGGATTGACAAAAAATCAGAATGTTATACATGTCGAAATGGTGGAATCTCTTCGAAAGTTCTTCATCCGGCTAATCGTAATGTAATACTAATGCTTGACAAAATTCTTGTTCGATGTTTGGCATGTGATGAAGAAAATATTCTACGAGGTGAATTTGCCAGTCATTTGGAAAACCATTGTGTCTATCATCCACAGAAGTGTATTGCTAGTGATCTCAAATGTCCTTGGGTTGGATTAAGAAATCAAGTGAAAGCTCATCAAGCTGTTTGTGTTTTTGAAATGTTGAGACCAGCTCTTGAAGACATTATGACACGACTTCAAGTCATTGAGAAGGAGAATAAGACTCTTCGATTCGAAAATCATGATTTAAAAGAAGAACTACTAGTTTTAGAGCGTGAGTACAATGAGTTAGAAAGTACAGTGAAGAACAACAATGAACATGGACACTCTCAACACACAGGTATTCTGATTTTCTTTATGTTTTCAAACTATCACCATTGAATGAAGCATAGTTAAAATAACATTGAAAGAGATCAAGTTATAGAGATAATTCAAGAGAAAAAAAACGTCACAGAACCTAAGTATATTTCGAATATTTGTAAAAAAGAAGGACTATTGACTCTTTGTTTCTAATATGTAATAAAATCGATTCTTCAAAGTTCAATTCGATATATGAATATTCAAATTTAAAATGTTACTTAGAATAATATGTTTTTTTCTCCTCGAGAGATGTAACGTAGTTTCATGTTCGACTTTTCATTCTGAATCCTTCATTGACATGTATAACATTTATTTTATTTTCTTATCGATTAGGTAATAATGGCTTCAAAGCTAAAAGAACGAATGGTCATGCTGCTGAGTCTCGAGATCAGCATAGACATATATTAAGTAGCGACGATGATAGAGATGAATCAACTCACAACAAGAGCGATCATTTGCCAGTTGTTCAACAGGTAATTATATCAGAGTAGATCTCAATTGTTGTCTTTAGCGAATATATCAGACAGTTGGCAATGTTTCTTGGTGATTCGTATAAACTTTTGGTTAAAAAAAATATTTGCTGCAATTGAAAGTTAGGTAAGACAGTAGAATTTTTTCCATGTTTTTAAAAATATTCAAAAATTTGTTGTTGGTATGAAAAAATGTATTTTTTGTTTTCATTCCGTTGCAGTTGTAATAGTCACTACTATTTGTATTCTCAATGTTTTTTTGAAAGAGATACGATGACACTAGAAAGCGAAATATGCTTTTTTGGTAGTGAATTGCATTCATTATCGAATGTGATTAGTTTGAGAAAGTGGAATCTTGAATAGCGAACAATACAATTACTTACAAAAATACGTCGTTGTATTTGAGTGACTCGTTGTACACCATATTCATGAAAAATTGGATTTTAGGTTTCCGAAGCACTGTGAGAATATCAATCTTTTTTCAAATGAAATATCGATTAGATTGTTAGTTTCTAGAGAATGATGACAATAGTCTGAAATGTTCTTTTATAGATGTGTTTAAAAGCACAGATTATATCAGTTTGCATTACAAGTCCCAAGTAGATCTTCATCAGACAAGTTTAAACTTAATATGCTAGATTGAAAAGATCACGATTCTGATTTGAATAGATTTTGTCAATAAAAACGGACATAGAAAATGTTTCACTAAGAGTAATCTCACTTCATAATCCCTGTTATGAATAGTTTTCTGCTCCGATCAAATCTAAAAATATTAAAACACATCTCATTTCGATTACTTGTTTCCGTATTTGATATTTTACTTGACAAAATGAACTCGAAATAGAATTGTTTTTAATCGAACTAGTGAAAAACTTGAGAATGTATAGTTGACGAGAACACATTTATTTACTCGACATCAATACGAATAACATGTGAACGCCTCGATTTATTAAGATAATCATCTATTGACATAAGTTGACTTTATCTTATCTCAATGAATCTTTATTGTGTGCTTATTATGGAAACAATGATTAGCGCTCCGGAATCATCACTATCATGTAGTTGATTGACGCCATAAATGATTAAGATATGATCTGTTTCTATTGTAGGGACGTGTTAACACTTTGCATAAATATGCATAGTTGCTGATTACTGTTCTTACACAAGAAATGGAGGCGAACATTTATAATGGAAATGCTGTCAAGAACTAACAGAAACTATAACAATGAATGAACTTGTTCTTTTTTCCTTGTTATTTTCTTTTTTTGACGAACTTAAACAATTCTAGAAACATCGGGTGACACTATGAATCAGTAACAGTTAGTAAGTTCCGAAGCGTATAAATGTCAAGTTTTTTTTGTATCATTCGTTATATCTGCTAGTCTCTCTGGCATTCACGGATTCAATAAAGTGAGATAAGAATATCACATACAACAACACTGCATCATGATTAACGCTTACAATGTGACTTTTCAATGATCAAGAAATATGATAAGATGTTCATTCAATAGCGTTCTTGAGCGCTTTACTTGTGTAGTAATTATAGGAGGCATTAATGAGTAGTAGAAACTTTCAAATGCTGTAAAAAGAATCAGTCACACCCTATAATACGAACAATTACTCCGCATTCATTATTAGCATACTCATATAGGAGTGTTCAGAATCATCTGACGATTTATATGTTATCATTGAACACTACCCAAAGCTCGATATGTGAAATTATGTAGGTTACTAATCGACAATTTTATAGTCCGATATGTACAGTTATCGACTGAATGATAAAATCGATCGAAATTTGAACAATTTTGTCCTTATGCGCATCCCAAAAATATAATGTTTTATGAATGAAAAGGGTGGGGTCTGGGTGTGAGTGTGGGAGTGTTTGCGGTTTCAGAGAAGAGCCACATTCACACACACCCATGCCGACACCCACTCACATCCACCCACACCCACACCCACACCCATACCCTTTTATATGAGACGATTTTGTTGGGATGAAGAGGAATTCTGATGATACGACATGTTTTAAAATTCAACTTTTAGACTTTTTCGCTAAAAAAACGGATTTTTTTCCAGAATGGGGATGATCCGAGGGAGGAAAAGCGAAACTTCACCGTACTTCACTGTACTTCACTTGTATTTCTACTTGTACTTCACTCACACTTCACTTTACTTTAGTCCATTTCATTTGTACTTCACTTTTACTTCACTCGAATTTCACTGTACTTTAAGCACAATTTTGAAGTACCAGTGAAGTACGGTGAAGTACGCGTACTTCAAAATTGTGCTTGAAGTACAGTGAAATTCGAATGAAATAAAAGGGAAGTGTAAGTGAAATTGAGTGAAGTACAGTGAAGTGCCAATGAGCACAGAGGAAGTACAAGTGAAGTACGGTGAAGTCTTGCTTTTTCCCCTTGGGACCATCACTCCACTACTCTATATCCGCCAATGAAATCATGTAAGTTGATCGTTTTCTTATAAAAGAGAGAGTAGATTCCAAATATTAATTCTAAAAAACGAATAAGTTTTAGTTTATTTTATCGCTCGTTAGCACGAAAGAATAATCGATCTTCGATTATTCAAGTGTAGTATGAGAAAAGATAAAGAAAGGCCTGATCTTCATTACAAAAGTCAATAGTGTATTAAGACACTTGATTGCCGAAGCGTTAAAACACATTCAATACACTTTTGAAAACTGTATTAACTTTAATACACTTCGAAAGTGTATTTAAGTTAATGCACTAATCAAAGCTCGGCTCGATTCACTAATAGGAATGACATGATTTTCCATTGGCAACTTCTCTATTATTAAACAAAAGAAATCAGCACTTCATGTCGAAGACAACGATTCTGATTGGTGCATTAACTTTCAAATGTGGACGCAGATCGATTGAATGGGACTTTAATACTGTATTATTTTTCTAGTGAAGGCGGCGTCACAGAAAGAAACAAACAACAAGTTAGCTTGTAGTTAACAGGCTGAAAATAAGTAACCGATCACTATATGCTTCTAACTGCGTATGGTAAATAACGACATGTATCAGTAATTTTTGACAATCTTCGACGAACCCCGACAAAATGCTTCATCCACCCGAACCCGTGCACATTAATTGCCGCCCGCCCGAAGCTCCGGATCTTTTTTTTACAATCTCACTCGCCTTGGATCGCCCGTGTGCTGAACAATACTTGTGCTCGTCCGCTCCGAGTATTTCTACACTTTTTATGCCCCCGCACACCTGCCGCCACATGACCTTGTGGGCTCCATGGACCCAAACCCGTGGATCGCACATCTCTGATGCATTCTAAAAGAGTTGATCACTTCTCATACACAACAGCAAGTGTGCAGAAAGTCAATTCTATGCTGCTACAAGAGAGAGCATAAGAAAAACATGATTTTGGAAAAGTGAGGCCCTACATATAATGATCGACATTTTGTCGGATTTTAAGGAATCTGACTCATTATTTTTGTGCTAGAAGTTTTACCCCATTTTTTACACGTTAATAGACAAAATAGTCAAAAATAATTTCGTTTCTATGAAAGTGATGAATTACAATAATGATCATCTGCATGGTTTAAATCAAGATCATCCTTAAAGAATATTGATAAGATGATTCGTTCGATTGATATGGTCTAATGCAACTTTTCTGGTTGAACTGGAGGATACGCTGCATTGTCTGACTAACTTTACGTATACGACGAGAGTTTGAATAATTGTCAGTTAGAAAAACAAGAAAAAGAAAAGCTCCGTCAAAGAAAAAAAGAACGGAGATCGAGTAAAGAATTATAACATTCTTTTGTGACTTTCGTTGCAGATTATTTACGAGATCGTACGATTATACGATTCAATTGGCGATATTTGATAACGACTTGGGCCATTTTCATCTATTGAACATGATGAATTCTCAAAATGAGAACAAGTATTCCTAGAATGCATGAAGAATGATTTAACTTAACAGCTTCTTGAATGTTCTAGAGACGTTTTATCTCTACCATCACCCATGCTCAATGCGTAATTGTCAAAGGACTTGTTTGCTACACTGTGTTAAACTGTTTGATCTTCTATAGCATCAGCGTTGTGATTCATGCCATCATTGAGAAGGTATTGGTGTGGTTATAAAATGTCAATGTGATTCTTTCATTCATTCACATCCACCCCATCACACAGCCACAGCCACACCCCACACCTACCCACACCCACACCCGCACCCACACCCACACCCACACCCACACTCACACCCACACCCACACCCACACTCACACCCACACCCTCAAAATAGCTTATTTTGTTCAGCTTTTGATTCTCTATCGTCTTGTGTATACCGTGAAAGTGTTCAATAATCTGTTGAAACGTAAGCTGGTACATCTTTTATAGGATATTTTTCTTTTTTTTTCCCAAAAAGCTGTGATAGTGCTTAAAGTCAGTATTCACTAACTTTTCATAGGAAGGGTATTATAATCTAAAATTTTAGGGTTAGTAGTTTTAGACATTGAAGTTTTGAATGAGCAAAAAAAATCGAAAAAAAAAAGTTTATCGAGTGCCTCGTATATTCGATGCCCTCATGGACGCTCTCTTAAATTGCTATGGAAAGCTTAACTAGCTATGCAAGTAGTTAAGTAGCTATAAGCAACTTAAAAAGCTATGCAATTTCTTAAATAGCTGAATGTTTATTTAAAAAGTATCTCTTTTGAGAAGCTACGCATCCACACACCCACACACCCACACACCCACATCCCACATGCCGCCCACACCCCATGCATAATTGTGATGAGTTCTGTTTGAAAAGTGCTATGGGTCAAATCACGCTCTTATGCGCCCCTTTCCTTTATACTTTTAGCAATCATTCAATCGTATAATGTAAAAATTAGGTACTCTCAATGGGATGGTACTTCCAGCAATATAATTACAAAGTTTTCATAACATTCGCACTTATTTGCATTGTAGCTTGTGCATTATTTTGGCACTTACAACATGTTGTATGCCAGAATCCCCACGATGATTCTATACAAAAATTAATAGGTTCCAGCGCAGCGCAGTATCCAAATAAAGTTTTCTTCGAAAACATCGCTACATATTACAGTCTAATGCAGAAGATTCAGTCTCAGCTTGAGAAAGCCGCTGGATCTCGTCACGGTTTGAATGGCAATATTGCTTGGTATCCTGGACAATTATTTTACTATGCGAGACAGTCGAGCTTAAATTCAATTAATACAATATGTGAGGTAGGCTATGGATCTGGTCACTCCACATTACTTTATCTTGTCATGAATTCCAGAGCTCATATATATTCTTTCGATCTATTTCCTGGAGTTGAAACAATCAATAATATTAAAGACCTTGAAATTCTTCCTCTCCATAATACGTTTCAAGCGGTAACTTTAAACTTAATTTCTAAGAATGAAAGCTTTGGCAAACGATTCACCAAAATAAGCGGCAATTCCAACGTAACTATAGTGAAGTTTTCACAAGAGCAACCTCACATCAAATGTGACCTACTATCTATCGATGGTTCTCATACGCCTCCTCAGCCGTTTTTTTGACATTTTGAATTCACAAAATCTGACTCACTCCCAGACTATTGTCTTGCTTGACGATATGGAAACGCCAAATATGCGCAATGAACTTGACAAGGCGATCCAGTTGGGCATATTGACAGAATATGAATGTTTACAACCAGAATATCGTGTCGACCAAAACTTTGCTTCCGTATCATTGATGAAAAAAAAATTTTGTTCTACAAGATACAAAATGGTACCTGATAGGCGACCTCTTTGAAGACTTGAAGTAATAAGCATATCATACGAACGATGACTCACTAGACTTGCTATGATGAAATCCCATAAAAAAGCTTGTTGGCGCAGCTGCTCTGGAGCTGAAATATGGAACTCACATATGCTCTCTAGCATCATTAAACTAATACAAAAAACGTAAAATGAAAAATCTCTCGTAAATTATAATTGTTTTACATGGCAATCAATCACTGAAGTAAAAACTTCTCCAGTTTCTGCATCTTGGACAATTTTTTTTAAATTTTTTTCTATGGATGCCCTATATTTTGTTTGCATTGTTGCTATTTGTTCATTATTTTTCATTTTTTAATTCGTTTTGCTTAATGTATCATTCTTATTATTTATAATCATTGAGTTGGTCGACAAATAAGTCTATTTTACATATCTAGTTACTTCCACCGGAAATCTCCCACTTGATACAAAAGTATTTCTGGCCAAGCTGAAACTTTCAGCAGTTCAAGTTCTGAATACCATAGGACTATGCATAGAAAAACTCCACTGACTTTCGGTCAGCATCATACCTTTTTTGAAATCACAAAATACGATCTCTTGCTTACAATGACCATTTTCATTATTTGGGCGTATTGACATTTTTCTGTAAATATAACGAATGATTGGAAACTTTTATATACCTATATAGTACTAAGTTAGTAGATTATGCGCATTACTATATCAGCTCATTCATATCACTCATATATGGATTGAGCAAGGGAGAAAAAGCGAGACTCCAACGTTGGAGTACAGATGGAGTATAGTTGGAGCATGGGTGGAGTACTGATGGAGTACAATTGGAGTACGGATGGAGTATAGCTGGAGTACAGTGGAGTCTAGTTGAAGTCTAGTGAGTACGTACTCCAGGTAGACTCCACTGTACTTCATCTATACTTCGGAGTACGGAAGTCTCGCTCCCCGCGCCCCCACCCCCCCACC